AATAACAAATAAAACTGTGTATTTAGATTTTAGAATGTAAAGTAAAAAGTAAACAAAAAACTTATTTATTTGATGGGCAAATTTTGGTTGCTTTTGTTGTGCACAACACTGTATATTCAAAACCTATGTCCAAATGGCAAAAACCATTTATCCTTATGGAATACTAGCAAAGGTATAAATTCCCCCATAGAATCCGATTCTTTAATAAGAAACTCTCTCGGAAACTGGGCGCTAAGCGATGAAGGAAAATTTAACGTTTTAGTTAGATTGCAAAAAGGGACCAGGATATGATAACATCTCACCCATCATGATAAAAAAAAATTTACTGTTTTTGGCCATAAATTTCATCACGAGACTTTTTAATGCCATTATTAAATTTGGCTTTTACCCAACAGAGTGGAAAACACCCATGATTATTATGATTCATAAATCAGATATAGATCCCACGCTTGGCTCTTCATACACTCCCACCAGTTTGGTTTTAAAGAAAAACATGGAACTATTACCTGCAAATGTCCAGTCAATTTAAGAATCGTTTCTGTAGAATAGAACCTTTAAAGTCAAATATAAATTATACACTTCTACTAATTTCCCAATAGAAGCTTGCGTTCCACAAGGAAGTGTTCCAGGCCCTGTCTTGTGTGTACATCTGATATCCCAATAACTAGTTTAGTTATCACCACTACGTTTGCCGATGATACGGCAATTTTATGCTGAAACAAAAACGCCGAACTAGCTTCGAACAACTTCAATCTCACTTATTTCGGTTGAAGAAATGGTTGCCAAAACAGCGCATTAAAATTAATGAACTAAAATACTTTTATTTTAGTAAAATGATAAAATCACTTTTACTTTAAATCGAAGTACATCTCCAACAATTACACCAAACAACATTATCATACAACAAGCAGATAACATAACGTACTTATGTATTTTCCTAGACAGACGACAAACTTGGTGCAAGCATATTGAAGCTAAACAAATTCAGATAAAGCTTCAAGTCTCTAAGTTGTATTGGCTCATTAATAACAGTTCCTCACTATGCTTGGAGTATAAACTTCTTTTGTATAACACCATCATAAAATCAATATGGACTTAGGGTAACCAACTATCTGGTAATGCTAGTGCTTCAAATATTGAAATTGTACAAAGAGCTCAGTCAAAAATACTGAAAACAACCACTGGTGCCCCATAGTATATAAGGATTTAAAGTATCCACGGAGATCTACAAATTCCCGTAATTAATGCTGGATTTGACAATATAAGAAAAAAATACAATAAAAGACTGACAGAATATGTTAATGCCTTAGCAAAGAATCTCGCACTTCTATCCATTACTCCCCGTCTAAAAAAACTGACCGTCTAGCCATTAATTAATATTCAATAGCTTGCAGTAAAAGCCGCACCTTTCTTTTTAGTAATCTGCAAAAGTTGAACCACTTTCTTGAAAAACCACCTAACATTCACTCCAATGAAATTTAACCCATTGATCTAAATGACGTTCGTGATATAAGGTTTACTTATTTTATTTTATTTTATGCAATGTATAATTAAAATAAAAATTTGTAATATTATGTAATTAGTAATAAGATGTTTAAAATAAAATAAAAAATAAAATAAATATAAAAAATCAGCGTAAACAGTATATCATGCAAAATCAGATACCAACGCTAAAACGACCAGTGGCGTTTATTATCGATGTATCAATAACTACATGATCAATGAAAAATTTCCTTCACTAAGTATCGAAAAACAACAAAAAGCGATCTTGATCTTAACTCAGGGTATTACCAAAAACCAATAGCGGAAGAGAGCAGAAAGTATACGGCATTTTTAATGATATGCGATTTGTACAATTTCAAACACACACCTTTCGGATCGAAAAACACTTCAGCGGTGTTCTTGCGTATGATGACCAAGGTCAAAGAAAGACTCACCGTGACTATGGTATATTTTATGGACAGTGGCGTATGCGGAAACACACCAGCTCTACGTGAGGCAAAATTAACTCTTAATATAAAAAAATCCGTATTTCTGAATCGAAATATAGAGTCCCTGGCTCAAAAATTAACTTTAGACGGTGTACGCTGGTGGTTGCGTATACAAGACTATGACACAAAAATTCAACAAAAGAATGTGAAACGAATGAAAAATGTACGCACGGCGAAAATACATACATTCAAGGCTAAAATAAATAAATGCGACTGGTGGTTTAGATGCAATTGCAAGATGTCAACCTTCAGAGAATTGTGGTAGACGTGCAGGGCGAGAATGAACTCGAAAAAGATGGATATAAAATGCACAAAGGTTGGCTGTATCGTATAGTCGACAACAAACTTTTATGGGTCACGCTAAAGCGTTTAAGACATAGAGTTCTACAAGACTATCACGGTAACTCCCAACATAGGAGCATTGAAAAAACTTTAAATCGAATTACAAATTATCTGATGACGAAGAATTACCTTGGGAAACTTATTGGATTGTAAAACACACTAAAAAGACTTTAGACGAAACGACTTCAATGTCTTGGGGATCGCTTTTTCACTGATTTAGAAGAGATAATGAAAGCAAACTTATCGGATCTTCTCAACTTCATCTGTAAAACCAAATGATTTAACAAGGATAACAAAGGTTAGCAATTTGCCTCTCTCTACATAATAATTGACGGCATTACAATGGCCAATATATGCCTCCGAGTGAAAGTGCTGACAACTGTCAGCACACGTCTTTTGAACCTAACCGAACTCTTTACGTAAACCAACCCTTTAATACATTTCGTATGAAATCACAAAAACATCTACTTCACATGCAAAATGAATTTTATATTTCCGCTGGCAACCAAACCCATTAAGGACATTGTAAAGACGCAAGCTTTTGTTCATTCAAGGAAAATTACACAACATAAAAATAAAGAAGTTTTACAGTTAATCAACGTAATTGAACCAGCACGAAAACTAAAACGTATAATAACACCCTTTGACCTCACTAAGTAATAAAACCTAGCGCCGTTAGCATTAATGTGCTTATATTTGTAAATCATCAAACTAAAAATGCTTGTTAAAAATATTAAGTAGTTGTGTTAATGAAAAAAAAAAATTAAAAAAAAAGAAAAGAAAATATTAGGTGATCACCATACTAGTATATACTAAATGTTTAATATTTATTTTAATCAAATCTTGTCTTAGTAGGAGTCGTCTAGTAATTTTGAAATACTTTTTTATCTAATTATACCTATGTTGTACATATTTTTTTGTTATTATAGTCTTTTTTTAGAAGATATGCACGAATCGAGGGAAATAAGTTCTATTAAGCTGCTATTTCAAACAATTCAAGAATTTTTTTGTGTGTTTATAATTATCATTAGATCGATTGAGCGATTTGGAAGAAAATCAACAAAAAATATTATTTGTAGAGCAGATTAAATTAAAAAGATTTTTACAGACTATTCGCCATTTCATTGGTTTTACGAAGGAATTAATAAACCTAGCCTTTTTTATTGCTTTAAATATTTTTCAAAAATACAATTTAGTAAAAAAAAATATGTATATGCTTGTATCATATCGTATTGTCACTTATAAATAAATTCCAGCAATAACTTTTTAATTTCACTTACCTAGTAATAATTTATGCTCAAAATCATTTGAAAACGTTTTTCGTACATAAAAGTCGAGATGGCTCCATAGTAAATACAAACACTGTTCTGTTACAAATACACAAAGCGATAGCGCGTCTCTTGTTGTACACAAGCACTGGTTCATATTAAAAAAACTTTTTACTAAAAAATATAAAAATTTAAATACAAAACAACCTAATGTTTTAATTATATTAACTTTACCATATTTATGTGTTACCAATTCATCACCGTTAATGTCTTGTGGTACAGCTTTTTGGCACAATAAGTTATCTGCTGTATAATTTTGGTTATAAACAAACTCTACAGAGCTTTTTAGTTGATCGATTATAACATTTAAATAATGGATTATTTTATTTGAATTATTTAAATTATCGTTACTTTGAATTGTTTCTAAGAACATTATTCCATTAATTCTGCGATCCGTAGAATGATCAGAAATTGCATTACAACAAAATAATGACAAATTAGCAGCTATTTCAAAAAAAGTTTTTATGTATTTATCCTTAGTAGCATCATTAATGGGTCCTTTAATATATTGCAATCTTAACATTTCTTTAAATGTATTCTCGTTAACTAAAAATTGACTTAACGAAGAAAGCATCAATTTATGTGTACGATATAAATTAATGTCACTGTGTTCAGTTGCATGTATTTCACTAAGAGAGAATATATTCTAAACAAATAGAATTCACATATTAAAAAATTTATAAATCACATATAATTTCTTAATATTGATACTTAATTAATGCCAAGCTTTAAAAAGATATACGATGAGAGTACCGAAAGTTCGCTTAGTTGTCTCCAAATTTAACAAAAATAATTTTCTACTTAATTAGCACACTTTAATCTTAATTTTTTATTATTTTTACATAACTTCAGAGACCGAAAATAGCAGTTATTTTAAAATTTTTTGTGAAAAAAAGCAGCAACAAAAAGTTGTCTAAACTCTTATTTAAGTAAATAGTTATCATTCTAACAACTTTTATCCTTAATATTATGCAGGCTTTTTATATATGAGCTTTTTAAAATAAAACTCAAAAAATAATAATTAAATTTGATTTTTATTATATTCATCAAAAATAATAATTATTATATGCCTTTTATTTTTTTCGCGCAGAAATAACTCTTAAAATTTGCTTCTTATTTTAAAACGCACAAATAACTGGTATACTTGCGTTATATAATATAAAAAGCAAGAGTATCGCGCAAATTCTGCGCGATATTTTTAAAATGAAAATATAAAATGCAATTTTCATACAAGGTAGTTGTTTTTGCAATTCCATAGAAAATGTTTGAAAAGGTTGGTGCAGGTAAAGATTTATGTTAGTTTTTTGTTTTTGTATTTTGCATTCAAATTTGTTCTCCTACAAAATACAAAGATAAATACAAAATATGAATCCAAAATACAAAAACAAAAAACTGAACTAAATCTTTACCTGCACCAACCTTTTCAAACATTTTCTATGGAATTGCAAAAACAACTACCTTGTATGAAAATTGCATTTATATTTTTCATTTTAAAAATATCGCGCAGAATTTGCGCGATACTCTTTGCTTTTTATATTAATACGCAAGTAATACCAGTATTTGTGCGTTTTAAAATAAGAAGCAAATTTTAAGAGTTATTTCTGCGCGAAAAAAATAAAAGGCATATAATAGTTATTATTTTTGATGAATATAATAAAAATCAAATTTAATTATTATTTTTTGAGTTTTATTTTAAAATGCATATGATAACACTTATAAGATGATTTTTATTTTTTTTATGATAACTGTTACGGTCCCTGCATAACTTAGAACATAACCGCTAGATCCACTTTTTAAAACATTCCTTAAATTTAATTTTTTTTTTGCCTGTAACTTCCGAGATTAGTTATCTCCTTATTATTGTGAAAGACCCTCCCCAGAAATTACGAATTTCTTGTGTCTCTGAGAGCGCAATAAGGTTATTCGTTTTCATATTAAGAAATATTGAAGTATTCTATGCTTCATCATCTGTTACAGTTTTATTGAAGATGCTTGACTCTTCATTTTCAAACTTTTGAAGACAATATTCGGCAAACTGCACACGCAAGCTTTAGTGAACATCCAAAGGGAACGCATCGATATGATTTAGACGTGTATCCAAGATTCGCGAAGAGCTGGCATTCAAGCTAAGTTCATGTACAATTATTTTCTGAATTACCCATAGATCTCTATCAATTTTAGGCAAAAATTTTGGACGACCTTCATATTCGTCTTCCATAGAAGAATGTTCAGTCTAGAATGTGCGAAACCACTCCGAGATTGTCGAAAGTGATAGTGCATTCTTTTTATATAATATTTGACACTTATTAAACATTTATATATTCTTAAGTTTACGCCGAAATTTGTAACGAATGGAAAACCAAATCTATTGTAGCAATGTTCGCATCAAATTTTTGTTAGCAATCTTTCGCTTTATTTTAATTTCGACTGCGGCATGGATTAAGCTTCAAATAAAATATTACAATTAATGTCTAATAAGCTAGTATTTCTTCATTTGTCAAAAATGTATACCGCGTTACTAACTAAGCGAACTTTTGTTAGTCCCTCCGTATTATACGCTATATTATATGTGTTGTTTTACTATATAAAAAAGACTTAATGTGCAGCACAATTCTCTACATTTAGATTTGGCAAACAAAATATTATTATTTTTAAATCATTTCTGAATAGTTGCTTAGTTTAATTAAAATGGTTATTTTTACGATATAATAGAACCAAAAAAAATCCTGGATATGAGATATATGAACATATAACAGTTTTTCTAATACTTGTTGTTTATAACATACTTACCTGATTTATTGTACGAGCAACAAGTCCAGTAATCGCTGCATATTCTTGTAATGGTTCTAGTTGCATGAATGGTGTTCCACTTCTTAATACGGTTTCGACCATTCCACAATGTGCCAACAAAAAGTGTGTCACCTGCGATATTGCTGAGTGATTTTTTTTGCCTAATGTTGATATTATACATTCACAAAAATTTAAAGCTGGAAAAAGGATATGACGATATCGCATATCAATTGAAGGAATGAAATCATTTAAATCATTATCCTCCATTAAATCATTCCTATTTTGAAAATCGGGATACATATCATATACTTTCATATTAGATAAAACATGTAAAACTTTTTCAGTTAATAATAGCTCAGCACCCATATGACAACTAGCTAAACGCAAAAGCATTGACATCTTTGATTCGTAAACATAAAGGGATTTTATATTTTTCGGAGATTTTTTTAAAACTAAACAAAGATTATCATCTGATTTTAATAAGCTTTCAATTAAATGAGCTAAATAGCCGCGTTTAGCGAAAAAAGTAATAAAATCTGACATTGAACCCAATTCTAATAGACCGTCTATGCATGATAATGCTGTCATTTTGCAGATGTCATGACCAGTGATACAATCACTACATATAATATCTATTAACTTTTCTCCAAATGATAAAAAAATCTCTACTGTTAGTTGAATTAGTGCTGATTCATTATGAGGAACATCCTTGACTATTGATTTATCCAACCCTAATATATATCTGAAAATTATAGGATATTTAAAAGACATTAAGTAATTTACCTATACCATTTTAGAACAAAATTCAAAACAACGTTTTATATGAAACTTACATTTCGTTAGTTATATCTTCTTTAGAATTTCGATTGTGACATCCTTTTATAATTCTTAAGTAATTTAAAAGAGATGCATATAAATTAATTCGTAACTTTTGCGAAGCTCCTCCACTTATTATTATCCATTCTAATATATTTTTCAGAATAAATTTCAAACTAAGCGAATTTGATTTAGTTGACATTGTTTTATGTTCATCCTCTAATGTATCCAAACGGTTTTTAGGGGTATTATCTTTTTCTGCAACTAAATAAATTTATTAACAATATTTTTATTGGATGTATATATTACCAATTCTTCTTAAAGTCTGATAATTATAACGTAAGTTGACTAAAAGTAATAACATAGTTCCTGAAGTTAATATGGAAACCTCAAATATCGGTTGAATTGGTACAATTTTACTTAGTAATTTTTGTAATATTTCGAGTATAAGTTCTTGTTTGGTATTTATTGATAAAGCTAATTCTGGAGCACAGCTGAATAAAATTTCCGTAACCTAGAAAAACTTAAAATAAAATAAATATAAATAAATAAATATGCTATTACCTGACACCAAGCTTCAATAAATTTAATAGTTGCAAAACTTTTACATCTTCCGTTATTAATTTGAAGAGCAAAATATAATAACACTTTGATTTCGTTCAATATATGTTTACGTTGACCAGTGGCTATTGTAGTTTGAACAGTACGTAATTCGTCATGCAAAAGTTGATCTAATTTTTTAATACTAATTTGTTTCAGTCCTTCTTCGTTTTCAATCTCACAATCATGGAGAATTTGAGATATGAGAGAACCGTCAAAAAATTCCAGTCTTGGGATGGAATGATTTACTACTTCGAAAGATATCATATCCAGCAAGTTGCATAAAATTAGGTTTAATGACTTTTCGGATTGCTGTTTGCATATAAACTTATCAGTTAGTAAGTTTGAAGATTGTGGACATAAATTATTTATATCCATCGGTATGTTATTATGATAACCGTTTTTGTCGGTACTCACTAATAATTCGCACAAATACTGGAATCTGCTTATTTGACAATTCGACGAAGTAACTTTCAATTCTATAGCAATACATTTCAGCACATAACTCATTTGCCTTAAAATATGTGGCTCTTTCATATAAGAAAAAGGGAAAGCACAAATGTGACGACTCATAAAATCACCACAGCTGCGTAAATAACGTAATATTGTTTCTGATGTTTTCTGGTTAGCACATAATGAGTAGATAAAATAATAACAACGTTCAATAAATCTCTCAAAATTGTTATCGTAAGCTTTATCTTGTACCTAAAACAACAAAAGAAGAAAAAAGTAAAATATGATATGAATGTTAATTTATATTACAAACCTCTAAGTAATTATCTAATAATGATATTATGGATTTTAAACAGTTACATGATACGTCAATAACTCGCATTTTTTGAGTCTGATTAAAATCCTTTGAGGTATCGAACCCCAGCAAAAAATGGGTTAGATTTGGAGCTGGTTGATATAAACCTTCTTGAAGAAAATCTATAACTGATTCTTTGAGTTCCAATTCTTTTTTAAGAGCTTGATTTGCTGAAATAGATTCCATTTCAGAGTATTGCAATGGGAGCGTAATATCATGTTCAAGACATTCCATAAATCCATTTCGAATTTCTGTTTGAATTTGAATATTTTCAGTTAACATGTCAAGTATTTGGTGAGTAACTTTTGGTTGCTTAGAAATAATTTTTAAAATTTTAATGGCATTGTAGCGATGCTTGGGAAGCCAATTATAGGTAACAAATTTAGTTGTATTTAATATATGATCCGGATTACCGCTGCGTGGATTCACATCCAGCAGAATATTTTTCAACCCTGATAATAATATTGTGTTATTAGTTGTTGAATGGTACTCAAAAAACGAGTCTTGTTTTTCTAGTCCTAATTTTAATATTTTTAAGCAATGCAACCCACATTCTTCCAAATCATTTTTTTCATTAAATTTAGTATATTCATCTAATTTAAGCCTTGTTTCATCTATTATTAATAAAATCAAGTGTAGCATTTCGGATTTTGTATGCAGCTGCAGCATAATATGATATCCTGGTAATTGATCTGTTTTATTTTTAACGAGATCTTGATTATGAATTTCGTATATTTCTAATAGATAACGCAATATTTTCAAACATTTTTCCGCAATTTGCCATTTTTCAATCGTATTTTTATAGTTTCTTTTTAAATTTAAGTAAAAAAAATAGCAATTACTAATTTATTCATTTTTAAGTAAATATATTTGCATGCATATATTAGGGTGAATGTTATTTACGAATATCTTAAAATGTTGTTTGTCATTCGTCAAATTGTTGGAACATTCATAAAACTGTTTAATATGAATTGTTAATTAATCGAATAATGATCAGACATCGTTTACTGAGCATTAAATTTGAATAAGTGCCTTTTTTTTCAATTTTTAACTTTAACCCGTCATTATCAGTGACCTACATGTCGAGAAGAAAAACCGGTTTTAGATACAAGCTCAGCCCCAAATTAACTTAAATGAATGAATTTTAAACGCACAGTGTTATTAATATTGTATATTAATAGCAAATATGTTTAATACCAACGCATGGAAAGAAAAGTTATTTTCTAAAACTTCAAGCTCAATGAACCCATCTATAAACATCATATTTAATGATTTTATAAATATTGCAACAATTTCGTTGAATGGCAACCAAGATCCGAACATCCATACATACTAAAAATACTCTAGTAAATACATAAACAATCTTACCGAGTGTTAAACTTCAAAAATATTTCATTTACAATAAATGTTAAATAAGGTTCCATTCCGGGTTTTCGGGACCCAGATCCCAAGTTGTTTGGTATTCCCATTTTTATTAAAGTATATAATAAATCGAGTATGCTTTGAGTGAGCGGATATATCTCTAAGCGGCATTCATTCTGTTCGATTTCGACTTGTAAATTGCACATATCTAAAACAAAATAAATTTTTAATTTTAAAATTTTTAAACTGGATAGTTCATTTCAATACTATACATTATGTAGTTAATTAAATGATTCTTGCTATGATAATATAAGTTCATAAATAAAGCGTGTTGCCTAAATAATAGCATATAAGGTTTCCTTTGTTTAATAAACAAAATGAATCGTACGAGTATGAGAGAGAAGAAGCAGAATAGTTTCATTTTTAATATTTACCGAGAAACGAGTGTTCCTAATAAAAAATATTAATAAAAAATTTGCAATGACTTCATAATATTCTATGATTACTTAT